ATACCCAAAAGAATATAAATTGTTTTATCATAAAAACATGTATATGCATATGTTCATTACAGCACTGGTCACAATAGCAAGACATGGAATCAACCTAAATGTCCATCAATGGCAGACTGACTGAAGAAAATGTGGTGCATGTACACCATGAAATACTATGCAGCCATACAAAAGAATGAGATCATGTCCCCTGCAAGAACATGGATTGAGCTGGGAGACATTAACCTTAGCAAACTAATGCAGGAACAGAGAAGTAAAGAACACATATTCTCACTTATAAGTGGGAGCTAAATGATCAGAACACGTGGCCACAGAGAGAGGAACAACACACACTGGGACATATCAGAGGGTAGAACTTGGGAGGAAGGAGAAGATCAGGAAAGATAACTGATGGGTAATAGGCTTAATACCTGAGTGATGAAATAATCTGTACAACAAACCCCCAAGTTACAAGTTTACCTGTATAACAAACCTGCACATGTACCTTTGAACTTAAACAAAAGATCAATGGCTAATATTTGTCAGAATGAATCATTTCTTTCCTTAAATATGTACCTTCCTCTGTCTTTACCCATTAAAAAAAATCCTTTTCTTAACCCCATCTCTTGTTCTTTATGTGTAGCATTAAACTGTAGAATTTCAGGGTTAGAATATCCGTTGTAGGTGTAAGGAAACAAATTGCATTGAGATCCTTGGGGAAGACACATTTTATATGCATAAATGCGTATTGAAAGTATAGACTCACTTTTTGGGATTTTGTTTAGAATATCACACGATTAAAATGCTGTAAGAAAGATGTCATATGAGCGGAAAATAGCTGTAAATTTGGACTTTATGTTATAATTTCTATTCTGAATGTGAATAATTAATTATTAGTGAGGCATTGAATGAAGGTCTTTCACAGTGATAATACCTTTGATTCTGGTTAGAAAAAAAATGGGAGAACTGTTACTGCATTTTTATACCAGCACGCTTTCTGAAAAGCAATTAAATTTCTTTGCTACCTCAGTTTTTAGAAAGCAAAAGTTTAGAAAATACAGTAAAACTGAACGTAATTTCCAAAAAAACCTGAAAGTCATTGGATTGTGAGATATTTGAAATCATATCAAAAAGTAGAATTTATGGCCCTATAAATTATGGAAAAGGAAATTGAATTGTGTTTTATTTTTAAAACATAACCACTAAAATGGTGTTTCCATAGTAACAAGGTCAACACCAGTAGCCATTACAGACCTTCGCCTTTTCTGATAGTGGGTTTAAAGAGCTTTCTCAAACATCACTTTAAAAGACCTATGGAAAAAACCGCAGGTTTTCTGATCATTCATCTAAGCTGAAAATGAAGAAAACCACACATGGGGTATTGAATTTCTCATGTTTTATGGATTATAAGCTTTCATTGCTGTCATATTTTCAGAAAGAAGCCTGCCTGACTAGCTACCATGCCAACTCCTGAACTTGGGATTTGATTAGCCTGATTGTAAATCAGGATGAACAGAAGTTGTTTGCAGTAGTAATCAAACACATAAAAGGTGGCACAGTATTAAAAAACATACCTCTTTAACATCTAAATATTGAAAGAGTTAAGTAAATAATCCTTGTTATTAAATTTCAAAGACTCAGATAAAATATTGTATCACTACTAAAGGAAGGTCAGACAGATACAGGCCACGTTTTGTTGACAACAGACCTAAATAGCTCTCTGGTCATAAAATCAGTTCTTTAAGCCCTACCAGGAAGCGGACTGCCCTTTCTTCTCTGTATCAAGGTACACTGCCTATATGATAGTCATTTGCCTAGCTTTGTCTTCTTCACTAAACTGTGAGCCCCTTGAAAGCAGAGATATTTTATTTCTCTATGTATTCATGACAGTATTTCACATGACATTTTGCACATAAAAAATACTGAATAAAATAGTGGAGAATGAATCATGAAAAATGATCACACAACAGTAACTAAAATAACACAAAATCTCTGGTTTAATTTTAGAAACAATGTGTCAGTTAAAAAAAAATGTACTCACGATTTTAATCTCTTTAAACCAAGAGGCTCTAGAATCTTTGTTCATAGAATCCCCAGCAGGAAAATAATGAATCCAATTGCCTGGCCCCTAGATCAATTCCTTCATAATCTCTACAGGTGGGGCCCTGGCATCCGTATTTTCTAATGCTACTCAGATAATTCTATGTGAAACAAGTGTTGAGAATCATTGCTTTACACTGTTCTCCCATGGTGCAACTGAGGATTAAGTTAATTTCTACTTTAGCTATATTTTCCCTTCATTATTGTCTCATAATACTATATTTACCAAACCTATAAGATCTTTTATTATAACCTAATTATTTTTTCCCTGTAAACACTTTTTATAGTAAAACATATCAATTAAAACAGTTTGGTCTTACACAGTTAAAACTTTTAGCCCAAATTATACTTTACTGTATTCTGTTTAATATACTTATTAGCTTTCTGTTACTGTGAATTCAGCTTTGAAAACCAGAGCTGAATATGGTACCATCATAATAGACACTAGATTAATATCAGTGGAATTAAGTATATGTTTTTGTGCATACATGCACAAAATGATATTAATCAGTAGAATTAAGTATACGTTTTATACATACCTTTCCCTGAGTCTGTAATACCTTTACCCTCTATGTATCTGGAAAAATTTCAATTCATCTTTTAAAACACACAGGTCATATTTTTTCTTTCTTCAGGAAACTTTCCCTGATCAGGGTAGATCATTAAGCACCCTTTGCTTTGGCACTGTCTCTACCTCTCTTTCATTTTTCTGCTTTGCACTTACTACCTGGTACTGTCATTTATTTTTCTTCCTTTTTTTTTTTTTTTTTTTTTTTTTGGCGGGCGGGTGTTTAGAATATGCCCTTTCTCCATTGTTGATTGTGAACGATTTGCTAAGTCCGGCCTCTCTCTACTCTTTTTGTCTCAAGGCACAACACAATCACTGGAAACAATAGAAACTCAGTAAATGTCTACTAAAGTGAAAGAATAAATGGCCATATTGAAGTGAAACAGGTGCATTTCAAAACCACTAGTGTAGGTCGGGCACGGTGGCTCACACCTGTTAATCCTAGCACCTTGGGAAATTGAGACAGGAGGGTTGTTTGAGGCCAGGTGTTTGAGGCCAGCCTGGGCAACTTAGTGAGACTCCATCTCTACAAAAAATAAAATAAAAAATTAGCTGGGTGTGGGGCATATGCCTGCAGTCCCAGCTACATGGGAGGCTGAGGCAGGAGGACTGTTTGAGCCCAAGAGTTCAAGGCTATGATTTCACCACTGCACTCCAGCCTGGGCGAGGGAGTGAGATCCTGTCTCTAAAAAAAAGAAAAACAAAACCAAAAAACCCACTAATGTTGTGAATTGAATTGTGTCCCTCCAAATTTATATGTTGAAGCCCTAACTCTCAATGTGCTGGCATTTGGAGTTGAGGTCTTTGGGAGACCTTGAGAGACAATTAGGGTTAGATAAGTACATGAAGGGAGAATGGGGCCCTCACTATGGGACTGGTGCCCTTATAAAAAGAGGCACCTGAGATCTTGCTGTCTTTCTTCCATGTGAGGACACAGCAGGAAGACTGCCCTCAATAAGGCAGGAAGATGTCCCTCACCAGAACTCTACCATGCTGGCACCCGATCTCTAACTTCCAGCCTCCAGAGCTATGAGAAAATACATTACTGTCATTTAACATTACTCAGTTTATGTGTCTTTGTTATGACATTCTGAGTTGACCAATACAAAAATGAATCAGGATTAAGTTATTTGAGGAAAAAGATTTATATAAACATTACAGATATTTATGCTTTCTTTTTTTCAATCCTTTCAAAATGGGCATTTGCTTTTTTGAAAGAAAAGGCTATATCAAATGCACTTAGACTGGATATTTCATAGATATTTCATGCTTTTTCCTCAATAAACTTGAGGCCTTATTTTATTTATGTATTTATTTACTTACTTACTTTGGTATTTTTCCGGTAAACTAAGAAGACTATCAGTGGAAAATGAATTAATTTTGCAGAGCAACAATTAATCAATGAGAAAAGATAAATCACCTTGGCCACTGCGTTAACAATTAGGACTCTACATTAGGTTTCCTTTTATGTTTTTACTTACAGATGCCATTCATTAAAAATCTAGTATTCCTTGCATTGTGCTAGATATTACATACTAAATTATTTTTTCTTTGTTTTGTTTGGAGAAAACATTTAGGGTACCCTGAACGCTCCTTAATATATTATTTATTTATTCGGCTAATATTTATTGTGAATCGTGGAAACCCAATTCAGCATGTAAAGCCAATCTAAGCTGATTTCAATCTAGCATTTTTTTGAGACTGTGACTATAAACTGCCCAGTCCGTATCTGGGAAATCTACTATATAAGCATAGCATATTAACAGTGTAGTTTAGATGGACAGTACACACACTATAAAATTTAATGAATGAGTAACATTTTTAAAATTGGGGGAACCAATACCAATTTGTCAACATTTTACCTGGCCAAATAATAACATTAAAAAGAAACAAATAGCACTATCAGTTGTTATCAGTAGTTCACAAATGATGGAGTATTTTAACACAAAATAATTAATAAAATAATCAGAAGAGAATAAAGGATGGTTTTCAGTGTTCACGTTTTAATTGTTGGATAAAAACATCCACTATGCCCCTTATTCTTCTCATTTCACTCTAAGCTAGTGAAACTTTGTTCCTCTTTTCAACTATTCAAAATTCTTTTCTTTTTCTAATTCTTTGGGCTGCCCATTAAAATAATGGGTAAACCTGGTTTAATTCTATCAGCCTTGTAGGGTCCAAATGAAAAATGCATGTTTACTTACCTGTAATTATTTTATCTCATTTTGTCAAATACTAACCATAAATGATGTTTCTGATACCATGGTTACTTTATATTTCTACATTTATGCCATATAAATATCTATGTGAAGGCCATAAACCAAAGACTAACAAATGTAACCACAAAACTTACATGTGCGGACCCAATGAAACTGCCCTCGCCATTACAATTCCAAGAATCAGAGTTGTTAAACCTGTAGAGATGAGGGAGATCTGTAAAAGAAAACACAAGGGTGTTGCTAATTTAGAACAGAGATTATTTTATTTAGAATGTTAAATCTTTCTCAATTTTAATTGGGTAAATTTACACATAGATTTTTCTGCCTAATTCTTAAGTAGGTTATTCTTGCATCTTGGTGTTGACAATGTCAAGCAGGTAACTTCTTATCAGATCATAGTCTTGGTTCCCCGCACTCACTCCAAGTAGGTGAGCAAGTATTATATATGACTGTCAACAGCATGCAATATGGCTTTAAACATTTATGGTGGCTTCTGCATAGAACACAAAACTGGTGATTTTTGCTTATGAAAGTAAAAGTGAAATTATGTTTTCTTTTTTCTTCAAGTCCTACTTTAGTGTCGACATGTGTTTTTTTTCTATCTGTAGTTGCTGCTTCTACTTGTTTTACTTTACTCTCCCCTTCCAAGAGCACACACTCCTCCCCCTCCTTTTGTTTTTAAGGAGCAGGTACCTCAGCCTTTCCTCTCTGCTCTCCAGCTCTACTTTTCCTACGTGGTTTTGCTCTTTGGTGTGTGTTTCTAGGCCTGTTTTGCTTCTTCCTCTCTGTTCTGTCATTATGTCAACTGGTTAAAATATTAACTGGTCTGTGTGTGTCTGTGTCCTGTGAACTCATTATGCTAGGTTTGTGTTTCTGGTCCTAATTTTTTTTAAATGAATAAGTACATTATGGTTCCTTTCTCTGATAAGGAAAAATAAATATAAAACTGCTTGTATTTCATGTGAATCTTATTAACCTTGTTTTCTAAGTTGTTAATTTTTAACTAGAAAGGAGTTTCTATTATGAATTGGCTTACCTTCTGAGGAGCATAGAGATTAAACAACATCCCCAAGGATACACAGCTGGAAAGTGGCAGAGAGGGAACTCAGATACAAGCAGCCTTACTCCAGATTAGAGCTCCTAACCACTCTGCTTTACTCATTGAGAGATTTACTTAGATATCTCAATATGATACTTTTAAGGGGTATTTAGGGAAAACATGCTCAGGTATTAATAATATGATATAATGTTAATAGCTTTCCTTTTATGAATGCTTCACTGCTCAGAAGTTAACATTTATGTCTACGTTGAATATATGAAATGGAAAATAGTTCAATTATTTTATATAGTTCACAAAAAAGCATGTTTTGATACCATCTTGTTTGTTTCCAGAAGACTATTAGGGATGGTCAGGATACTTTACAATATTATGTCTACCGTCAGCTCTACCTGGAAGGATGGGCTTCATAACTGGATACACAATGTCAAACATAGTAGCGAAAAGTAAAATTCAGTCAAACGTTGGATTTTTCAAAATAGAATATAAAAGTATTATATAAATAACTCTTCGCAAAAATATCTTGTCAGAATGTTTGGCACTGGCATTATGTAGACATAGTACCAATAATATTTTGGGTAAAATACAAATATTCCTTGCGAGTAAGTACAAATGAACATTTGTAGTGAACTGAATAATTATTTAATTGTTTTCATTAGAAGAGTTCAGTATTCCTCTTCAATAATACAAATTATAAATATTGGCTAAATTCTCAAAAATTGACCAATCAACACATTGAAAACTAAATTCACTGGATGAAAAATAAGCACGATAGACACTGTAACTTACAAATAAAAATATTTTAAGCCATTGAAGTGACTCATTGTTACTTCTTAGTTTAGCTCTAAATTGTTTAAACTACCTACAAAAAAGATGAAACACTTTTCCAATAAATTAGATTTGCTTTAAATATAGTTATTTATATTTTCTAAATTTAAAATGTGCTGTCTGACATCAGTTAGGGTATCTACCTTAAAAAAGAAAAAGGAAGAATATATTAGTTCATATTCATTAACTATCAGTTCTCACAAACTAATGTTTCAAACACAGTTTACTTTAGCATAACTATAAGTAAACTAGAAGAAACTGAAGATAAATGCTGTAATTAAGAACTTTGCCAAGTAGACAATAGATTAATGCAGGCAACAAGGCACATTTCTGTGCCCATTTAACATGTAAAAAATTACCTTTCCAAGCTTTGCTATATCTCGGTACAAGGATAAAGGCAGAGTAAAGGTAACTGTGGAAAGCCCAATAATGAAGTGGCGACCAATAAACAAATTTTCAGGATCAACTAAAACATAATAAATATTATTAAATGTTACAGGTATAAGTAACACATTGGTGACACACTGAATAGCCAGCATTTATTTATAAAAATTACTTAAACATAAATACTACCTCAATGACAATGATTTTGAGTTAATATGCTCCTTAAAAACATGCAAAAATAAAAATAAATCACAAAAATACAAAAAATACAAAAAAACTTCAGGATGACTTATACTTCAAATGATATTGTAATATTTCACACTGAAATTATTTTGATAGCCTCCTAACCAGTTTTCATGCTTCCGCCTACCTTTATCTTCTTAGAGTATACTCTTAACTCAAAACTACAGAATTTCTTTTCAAAGATAAAAAACATTATGTCATTCCTTGCCCAAAACCCTTTAATGACAAAATGCTTCAGGTAGAAAGTAAGCTATAGGAGGATGATACATTTTCTAAGAGTTTTTTTTTTCCTATACCCAAGAATCTTGGACAGTAATACTTTAACAAAATTTTAAAAATCAAGATTTAGATAAAAAATATTTGATACAGTTCTATACTTTTGTCAAGAAAGAAGTGGTTTCCCCGAGTGGCAGAAGCAGCTTATTGGATAGGGCGGAAGCCACAGGGAAGCCACTGCAACTGGTAGACACTGCAGATTCTTGGCTATGGTCATGTGTAAATACAAATAGAAAATTATATATATACATATACACATAATATATATATACACACACACACATATACATACATGGAAATATACACATATAGAAAATTACATATACATATATATTCCATATACATATGTAGAAATTTCCATACATATATAGAAAATTACACATAATTATATGCGATGTGTGTATAATCAAATAGAAATGGAAGTTTTAAGAATAAAATAAAACATACAAGGATTTACGTATTTTAAAAGCTGTGCTAATTAAAACAGTCACTTAAGGAGCTATATATCTATTTCAATGAAGACACTATTGTTTACATTTTTAGCTTATATTAAATTTCACTCAGAGATCGTGTCATTATATTGTAACAATGTCTTCAGTAGTACCAAGTCATTGTGCATCAGTTTCTGCAAACTCTAAAGTCTATAGAGATCCAGTCTTAAATGAGTGAATGATTGTGGTAAGAAAATAAAAGCTATTATCCTAAACAATGACACTAATTTTCTTAGATGGCTAATAAACTTACAAGAAAATTTCAAGACATAAATTTCAAAATGACATAAATGTTTACCACGTATGTGTATTTTATATATGGTTATTAGATTATTAGTATTTTCTCTCTATATAGTGTATATATATATGTATATGGTGTGAGTATGTGTGTATGTGTATATATTTATACATATACATGGAATGGAATATTTAATCATGAATAGTTGAACTCAGCCAAAACTAGTCACTATAAAAGTAAGAATTAAAACAATAAAACAGGAAAATCAATTCCAAAATCCCTGAACTCACTATTTACATATTTGTGGTGAACATAATTTGAACCAAATTATTTGTGTGTCTGTTTCTATTTACCCTTTAAGCCTTTTGCTTCATTGAGAAGTTGCTAAGGGCTAGATAAACTCTGGCAGAGTGCTGTAGGATCAACAGGTAGGCACCTAATAACTGAGGTTAAAGGGCGTTGCATAAAGGACATTTTTCACTAATGATCTAATGATGAGATATATTACCTATACCGATCTATCAAAAATGCACACAAGCATGCATTTTAAATGTTTAAACAACAGTAAAGAAAGGTGAACATTGAAATTTTTGAAAATAAAAATTCTGAAAAAATTTAAAAGCATGTAAACATGCTATTTTTTTATACCAACATTTCTTGCTGCTTTGACTTATATCAAGAACCAAGGCTTTGGCTACCAGAGAAAAGTATAAGTGATTGTCTACTTGCCAATTTAAGACATTAGTGATGTATTTCAGAAAAAAAAATAAAGCTTTGCTAAGAATTTTGTAATACCTACATCTAAAATATACTCTGGGATAAAATGCCTCACAAAATATACAAAGTGAACATTATAAACTGTCACATCTCAAAATATTGAAAATGCTGAAAGAATAAAGTTATGTTCTTTGCCATGTGACCTACATTTTTAAAAGTCATTTTTTATTATTACAAAATTGAAAACCAGGAAGGGGGTTTCAAGGGACCATTAGTTTTTTCTATAATGTTTTATTTTTATGAACGGTGTTATTTATACATTGTTTGTATAATTGCAAATAAAATTGCTGATCAAAACGTTTATATCAGGGAAAGGTAAATTAATTATGGTCACTCCAACTGTACAATAGATACTGTACAGAATACTGAACTTCCATTAATGTATATATATATATTTATGTTTTGATATGAGAATATGTTCTTAAAATATTACTAAGAGAAAGAAGTGTGTTATAAAACAAGATATATAATGTTATATTATTCATATGAATATCTGAAATTACATGTATTCTTAAAACTTTGAAATTATGCATTAAAAAGGAAAAAGGAAGGAAGAGTAAAAACAGGAAGGGGGTTGAAAAGATGGTTTCCACCTGATTGTCCCAAGAGGAAGAGATTGTTAGTATTTTCTATATTCTCCATTTTACTTGTCTGTGTTTTCTAATACTTTTCCAATAAATAGATGCTACTTTTTGAATAGGAAATATAGTAATAAAATATATTTTTTTGACTGGGCACAGAGGCTCACCTCTGTAATCCCAGCCCTTTGGGAGGCCAAGGCAGGTGGATCACCTGAGGTCAGGAGTTCAAGACCAGGCTAAGCAACATGGAGAAACCTTGTTTCTACTAAAAATACAAAATTAGCCAGGCATGGTGGCGCAGCTACTCGGGAGGCTGCGACAGGAGAATCGCTTGAATCTGGAGGCAAGGTTGTGGTGAGCCAAGATTGTGCCACTGCATTCTAGCCTGGGCAACAAGAGCAAATTTCTGTGTAAAATATATATATATGGAATTAGTAATTCTCTTTTGAAAAACCTTAGAGGCCAGGTGAGATGGCTCATGCCTATAATCCCAACAGTTTGGGAGGTTGAGGTAGGCAGATCCTTTGCGCTCAGGAGTTTGAGACAAGCCTGTGCAGCAAAGCAAAACCCCATATCTACAAAATCGGGCGTGGTGGTGTGCACCTGCAGTCCCAGCTACTTGGGAGTCTGAGGTGGGAGGATCACCTGAGCCTGGGAGGTTGAGACTGCAATGAGCTGATTACGCCACTGCACTCTAGCCTGAGCAACAGAGTGAGACCCCATCTCAAAAAGAAAAAAAAAAAAAGGAGAGAGAAAGAAAAGCCCTGAAAAAATAACAAAAACAAGCCCCACAAAAATCCCATGGATCTTAACGATTAAAAGATAAACACAGTTTATATGTAAATATATTTCTTTCTTATTTTTTCTTACTTGTGTATGCAAACAGAAAATTTACATAATTTTCTGTTTACATACACAAGTAAGAAAAAAATAGGACATACATTATATTGTATGTCTTGTATTATATTCCGCCCATTTTCTCTTAGCATTCTACCCACTCATGTGGTCTCAGCTTATGCATTCATGCTCTGGAATTTGGGGGCTGGCACAGAAGCTATAGACAGTCTAGGGTAACATTAATGATAGCTAACAGTACTGGATAAGCCTACTGTGTGCTAGGCACTACCTATCTCACCTCTTTTGGTTCGCACAACAAGTCTATGAAGCAGATAATATTATGTTTCATAATTTAGAGATGAGGAAACTGGAACTCAGAGAGGACAATGAACCTTCTCATACAGCAGGTCATTAGTGTGTCTGTGATTTGATAGCTATGTCTCCATGATCTCAAGTTCCAATAAACCCTGTGTGAGGAATAGCTGTACTTTCTAGCTCTACGTTTTATTTCATTTTGTTTTGTATGTCTCTAGAATGAGTGATTCAAGCACTAAGAGGAAAGGTGTTTTTGCATCAATCTCCTCAACTGTTATGGCAACTGTAGAGAGAGTCACAGTGAAATGGTGATTATGTAGCTTGGATGAGAAGCTCTTCAAAGCAAAAAGACACATGATCTCTGAATTATTCTAAAAACCATGACATAGTGAAAAGTTGAACAGGGAGTGAAGTTGTAGCGATATGTTGAAAAGGTCTGCTTGAGAATGTTCACACTGATTTTTTTTTGTAATAACCCAAAACTGGAAATGACAAAAATGTCCCTAACTGGGTGATAGATACACTATTGTACATCTACAAAATGGGATGCTTCTCAACAATTTGTTAAAAAGAGTAAACTACTGATGTATCTAAAGACACAGCTGAATCTCAAATGCACCTTTCTAAATAAAATAAGCCAGACTTAAAAAAGCAACATATGGTATGATGTCATTTACCTGGCATTCTGAAAAAAAACAAAACTACAGGGAGAGAAATCTCATCAGGAGGCTGAAAGGGGGAGCTGGAGATTACGGTTTGACTACAAAGGGAAATGGGGAAACTGGAGGGAGTGATGGAATTGTTCTGCATTATTTTTATTATTTTTAGAGACAGAATCTCTATGTGGCTCACACTCCTGGGCTCAAGCAATCCTTCTGCTTTAGTCTCCGGAGTAGCTGGGACTACAGGAACATGCTACTGTACCTGGCTTGTCATTCTTTATTTTGATTGCAGCTGTAGTTATTTGACTATATTCCTCTGTCAAAACTCACAGAATATAGGTTTTTTAAATATATTTTTTGAGACAAGGTCTCAGTCTGTTGTCCAACCTGGAGGGCAGTGGCATGATCACAGCTCACTGTAGCCTCCACCTCCTGGCTCAAGTGATCCTCCCACCTCAGCCTCTCAAGTAGCTGGGACTGCAGGTGCATGCACCATGTCCTGCTAATTTTTGTACTTTTTGTAGAGACAAGGTTTCACTATGTCGGTCTCAGGCTGGTCTTGAACTCCTGAGCTCAAGCGATCCACCCTCCTCTGCCTCCCAAAGTGCTGGGATATTAGGCATGAGCCACCACGCCTGACGACAGAATATAGATTTTAAAGGGCTAATTTTACTGTATTAAATTATACCTTAATACAAATAATGGGGAAAATAGTCTTCTTGCTTATTTAAGAAACCATATAGTTTAAATAGTACATGAAAAAATGTTAGCACAGAGAACTGGTGATATGAAGCATAAAGAATTTAAAATATAAAGGACGCGAAGCATATAAATACAATTTTTTTCAAACAGCTAAATAAGAACTAAATTATGTATAAAAGTAGATCAAAACTTTAAGATCAGAATGGATCATGGAAATTGTGAGATACCTAAAGTAATCCAATGATTTTACTTTCAAATTTTTTATTTATAAATTATTATGAATCATGTTAACTATAAATAACTATATAAAATAAATATATTTAAATCCTCAGAATTTTTATTTTGACTTACCTCCTGGGATTCTTTGAAAAACTTTGCTCAAAGTATCTCCAGCTATTATGTTGTAACTTATCATTGCTAAAAACATAATTAAAATAAGAGTCATCAATAAGCCATCACAATATTTTATTCTAAATATTTTGAAAGTGATCAATTATTACTTCCCAAATATTGACATAATCCTACTACTTTCAAATGTATATTATGATTACCAGTTTGGACAACTTTAAAGATAATTGGACAACAGATCTATGCTAGAGTATCAATTTGTATTAAAAGAAGAATTTTCTCTTTACAAATTGATTCATCACAGAACACCTTTAAGTAGCAGATTTTGGTAGTTACTTAAAATGCAATCTATTTTGTTGTTAAAGTTCGTTTTCCAACACCCCCTTTTCAGGAACACATGTACTGCATAAAGTGAGGACTAATAATAGAAACTTTTGAAGGCACTAAAATATCCCCTCCATTGAAAAAGTAAGACTTTTTGGGAAATATATCATTAGCCTTCTGTGAAGATATATGGACCTACTGGTTTGAACAATACCTTCTGTAGTACAGATTTTGAAAATAAAGTCCATTTGGCCATTGGTGAACATTAACATTTCATTTTTTAAGAAGTGCTAGGTGACATTTTCACCATTATGGTATAAACTTTAAATAGCACATTGGCCTAGTACATGCCTTCCACAAATCCTTAGCTTTTGAAAATAAATAAATAAATAAATAAAGTATTAAGCCTTATGAGAAATGTATTCACATTTTATGCTAGATCATTCCACTTTTTTTGTTTTTACCAAATACAGAAAGCACAAAACATTAACTCTGTGAAAATAACCCTCATTTTACTTAAATGAAATGGTCAGAAAACAAACCAAAAGGACCAGAAAATAAGGAAGAAAATGATTAAAGAAGTAAACATTTAATTAGGAAAAGATTTCAACTATAATAATATCTTTAATGACTATTATCACTATTTTATTCAGAAATAACTATATGCTTATGCACATAATTGCAATATTTATTTTCACAGTCAACTTACCTATAAAAGGATACAAAAACTGAAGAACAGAGAGGAGGAGATACCCTGGAAACCCGAAGGTTTTATTGACCAAAGACTGGTAGGTGTCTGTTCCGGAGAGGGCCCCTCCTTTTATCAATAAAACAAGGGAAAAGTCTGTGGCAAGAATATCAATTAAATAAATGTCATATTACATGAAATACAAATATTTTTCATGTTTTAACTTAACTACCATGGAGAAAAAAGGAAATTCTAAAGAAGCATTTAATTTAATGCTACAGTACTAGCAGAGCAAAGCTAATTTTCTTTTCATAAAACATTACCTTTTATGAAACTAATGTTTCCAGTTACATATTTTTCAATCAAGATGCAAATATATACTTAATATACCGATGCAAAGAACAGGACAGAAGAGAAAACAGACTAGAGTCAAAGTGCCAGCATTTCATTTTACTTTCCTGATGAAACCAACACAGCAACTGTTACCAGGTGAGGCTCAAATGTCAAGAAATAGGGTAATCAAATATTTCATAGATATTCAATGCATGAAGACAGAGAATGAAAGGTGTGGTAGAATTTAGAAAATAATAGATTTAGGAGCATTTGTTTTATAATAAAATAAAATTAGTAACTTTATTGGATAGTTATTATGGTTAAGAAAGAGACATTCTATGAAATTTTGCTTTTGAAATTTACATTTTTGGATAGGCATGGTGGCTCAAACCTCTAATCCCAGCACTTTGGGAGGCTGAGGAGGGTGGATCACGAGGTCAGGAGATGGATACCATCTGGGCCAACATAGTGAAATCCCATCTCTACTAAAAATACAAAAATTAGCCAGGTGTAGTGGTGCGTGCCTGTAGTCCCAGCTAGCTGGGAGGCTGAGGTAGGAGAATCGCTTGAACCCGGGAGGCAGAGGCTGCAGTGAGCCGAGCTCACACCACTGCACTCCAGCCTGGGTAACACAGTGAGACTCTGCTTC